GTCATGTTTGTTACCTGATGCAGAGTTCACGAACGGAAGCAAAATTTTGTGAACGGTGCTGGTCGTGAACCGAATTGTTCGTGAACAGAAGCGTTCGTGAACCGAGGTACCACTGTATTGTGTAATGAACTCGAACCATTGTGTATTTAACTCTAATTTTGCTACAGCAGGCTCTGTTCTTAATTATGGGTTGTCCATAAATCGGGCATTCTTAACCCAGGGACTGCTTACTTCCAGTGCTTTTTCTGGAACTGCACAAAAACTTAAAACACAGGATATGATGTGTATTTTAAACCAGATTTGACTTCACTCAGCTTATGTGTCTCAAGATTTTATTGCTCTAATAGCTAAAGCATAAAAGACGACTACTTCCTGGATGTTTCTTTAATTACTGGATACACTCCAGTCTGTTTTAATTGTTGTAATTCTAACAAGTTGCCTCTGTGCTCACAGATTCAGATAAATCCTGGTTTGAGGACAGTTGAAGGATCCTTTTACAATTATGTAGATAAACATGATACACTCTTGCAGGACACATGGATTACAGAAGACTTTTTCCTAGAGGGATAATAATCACTGTCTCTACAAATGTTACAAGTGTTTCCAGGGGTGGTAGGTTGTGTATGGGTTTAATGTAACATTACAGGTTGAAGAGTTAGAATTGCACTATTTAGAGGAGTGTGCAGAGTCAATAATACTAACAATTTTAGTCTAACAAATGAATATGTACTCCCTGTACATACCCATGCCATGATCAATAAAGTTTGGTGCAAGATAAAAAAAATATTCATATAATTTGGTTTATATCCAAATGCTAATTTGATAGTAGCAGGGGAGAACTTTATACAAAATTTCATTGCTATTCACCTGATTTTTTAGCAGTGCATCCCATGTTACTTCACTAATCAAAAGACTCCATAGCCAACTTGCTACGTATGATGCAAACTTTGGCCAGTTTAGACCTTGTGGTCTTGAATGACACATTAGATACTCTCTAGCAGAATATACCAACTGAGCTCTCCCAAAGCCCTCCCTCACAGATTATGTTGTGGCATCACAGATCCTAGTTTCCAACATTTGTTAAAAATCACAATTGTTTTGTATCCTGATAACACTTCCTAGTTGTTCTTCATGTGAGGATACCTGAGAATATTGCAAACAGGCAGTCCTCAACTTACGACAGTAATTGGGACCGGAATTTCTTTCACAAAGCGATGCGGTCATAAAGCTGACCACATCACTTAATAATGGCAATCCCTGCAGTCCTGGTTCCTGTTGTTAACTGAATCTCACAGTTGTTAGGTGATGCAACTTTCTGCCAGCTTCCCACAGCCAAAGTAATTGGGGAAGCCGGCAGGAAGTTGCAAGTCCCAGGCCTGCAGGCACGTGACTCCTGCCGGGTGGGGGAGGGAACGAGAAAGTGCATGGGAGGGCCAGGGAGGGTGCCTGAGGGTGCAAGGGGGTGTGAGAGAGGCATGGGTTGGGGAGGATGCGCAAGGGGGTGTGCAGGAGGCATGGGTCAGGGAGGGGTGTGTGCAAGTGGCCAGCACGAGTGCAGAGGGGCTGGGGAAGGGAGCACACGCAGTGGAGGCTTACCCCAGCAACTTGCGACCTTCCCTGCCAGCTTCCTGACTGACTTTTTGGAGAAGCTGTCAGGGCAGGTTACAAATGATGATCATGTGATTATGGGACGCTGCAACTGGTTCTAAGTGCAAACTGGTTTTCAAGTACTGAGATTGCGATCATGTGACCATGGTGTTGCTGGGATGGCCAGAAATCCGAGGATTGGTTGTAACCACCATTCATTCAGCACCATCGTACTTCGAACAGTCGCTGAATGAATGGTCATAAGTCAAGGACTACCTGTACTTGAATGTTAGTTCTGTTCCTGCCCATGCTATTGCATTCTGGACTACTTGCAGCTTGTGAGCAGTTTTCAAAGGCAGGCCCATGTAGAATGCATTGCAGTAGTTCACATGTGAAGTGACCTAAGTGTGAGTGGCTGTCTGAAGGGCTCCCCAGTCCAAATAAGGGCACACTTTGTGGAAAAGATGGATTTATGTGAAGGTCCTCTTAGTCACAGCTACCACCTGCTCCTTGAGCAGGAGCTGTAAGTCCAAGAAGACTTTCAAATTGTGCACCAGTCCCAAAGCGAGAACTGTAACCCCGTTCAGGACCAAAGATTAAACATCCCAGGTCCTGGGGGGACCAAAGACCCAAAGACACTAATTTTTGTCAGGGTTGAGCTTGCTCCTCCTCATCTAGGCTCCACAGCTTCTTTTCTAAAAAGGGAAGGTTGGAGACTAGATGAATATTCTCCAGTACAGTTGGGTCCAGCAAAGCTTCTTGAGGAAGGGATACACCACCATCTCTTTCAAGGCAGTGAGGACCATCCCCTCCCTTAATGAGGTGGATACTAGAGCATGGACCCAACCACTTTTCAGGCAGTATTCACCAATCAGAGGGGATGTGGATTTCATAAACTGGTAGTTAGAGCTCCAGACCCAAGGATTCTACCTCAAACTCATCCCAACTAATCACATAAAACCTTGCTTCGGTCATCCTGACAGTACTTGCCCAGTTGGAATCCAATTAAGTGAATCCAAATGACTTTATTTACCAGATGCCTAAATATTCCTCCCAGTGGCCCCGCAGATAATCCTGTAACTCATCCCTCCCCAGCAGGATTTGAGTCACTTTAAAAAGGGCAACTGGGCTGCTATCTGCTATAAAACCATCATATGCAAAGATCATTACTAAGTGTGATGCTGAATCTCTGTTTCAATCTGGTTATGAGAATAGTGTTTATCCTTATGCAAAATGGTCTCTAACCATACCAGAGTAACACATTTATATTTCATTTTTTTCTTTTTTTCTTGTTTTGTAGATACTTTTCAAACAGGTAAGAGCTTTCATGCAGCCATGGAAGCCTTACTGTTAACTAAAGAAAATTTTGTAAAGGCACAGAAAGAAGATACCAGCATCTCAAGCTACATAATTAGTGTAAAGCATGTACTGCAAGACATCACTGGAGTGAGAGCTCTTGAAAGTGCGGTCCAGCATGAGGCCCTTCATTATCAAGGCCTAGTGGATTGCATAGCAGAATATCGGTGAGAGGCTAAATTTAGATAATGTTGTTTGTGACAATGCTAAACTTTTTTGGACTAAGAAGGTATTCAGGCCATGTTTCACTTTCCCATTCAAAACAGTGACTTTAGTGCTTTACTTTATCTGCCTCATACCCAATACTTCTAAAACCAATTGTAGATTTATATTTCCCTTACACTCAAAAATAAGGTAAAGCATATTTTAAATTTTGCTCTTTTTTCATCATTCTAAACTGAGAACTATGTTATCATTCTTTCCATTTGTCAGTGAAAAATTGAACCAAAGAAATTTATGTCCAAGATCAAGAACTGCAGAGTTGCACTTTCGGCATTACATTTAATAGTTAAATGGGATACCCTGAGAAACCATAACACAAGAAATCCTCATTGCCTTTGTAATCACATTTATATGCCACCTTTTATATGCAGTGTTTAAAGTGGCTTGCATAAAAAACAGCAAAATAGCAAAAAAAAAAAAGTGGGGAAGGGGAATCTAATAATTGTAGATTGGTTGTGACTGGATTAGTGGAATAAGGGGATGCTGTGTATGTAGTATACTATAATGGTATGTGGGAATGAGCTTGAGAGACAAGAGGGAGCATTTATATGCCACCTTTTATATGCAGTGTTTAAAGTGGCTTGCATAAAAAACAGCAAAATAGCAAAAAAAAAAAAGTGGGGAAGGGGAATCTAATAATTGTAGATTGGTTGTGACTGGATTAGTGGAATAAGGGGATGCTGTGTATGTAGTATACTATAATGGTATGTGGGAATGAGCTTGAGAGACAAGAGGGAGAGCTGTAGACTGGACAACCAGCATGTAAGAGTTATCTCAGCCCACAGAAGGAGGGAGGGTATGGGAAACATTTCAGAAGGGATCCTCCCTAGTTTTGCAGAGAGTAAAAAAAAAAAGAGAGGAGAAATACTTTCAGTCTTGCAAGATTCTGTTAATGTAATCTTATAATATAGAGCTAGTACTCCTAGTTGTGCTGCTTGTCTGGACTACCTTGCAGGGCTAACATCTACTTAGACTTTACTGAGGCATTTGATGAAGTAGACCATAGCTGCCTTTTGATAAAGTGGAACAATGTGGGATGGATACTACCACTACCAGCTAGATTTGCAGTTGGTTGAACAACTATAACCAAAACATATTCTTCCTTATGGGCCTATGTCTACATGGAAGGAGGTATGCAGTGGGATACCTCAGGGTTCTCTCCTGGGCCCAGTACTGTTCAACATCTTCATAAATGACTTAGATGAAGGAATAGAAGGCATGTTGATAAAATTTGCAGATGACTTTTTTGGGGGGGGCGAGGGGAGGATTACTAATACTCTGAAGACAGGCTCAAGTTAGGCACATGAAATTTGGTCATTTCTTGCGCATTGCTTGGAAAATGAATTTGTTATTACCACTGTATTTGTGAATGGTTGCTAAATGAGGTAGTTACTAAATGAGTGGGTGTAAAAAAACTGTAGCGGCCAGATACTATCTGGTATTATTGTAGTTCCATATTGCAGTTTTATGCTAATTCCATTTAATTCTAAACAAGGTTTTACACATGTTCTCATTTTTATTAAGGTTATTTTTGATTTAATGAGCATTCAGTTTAGCACTAATCTCCACACTTCCCTGACTCTCTCAATTTTTGCTGATTCCTAAGATACTTGGAAATCAAAATAAATCTTGCTGCTTTCCAAGTACCCCCAAAATTCAGCACAAGAAGAACTCACATCCCCATTTTGTATGGAGCTGGAGGGGAAAGTGGAGGTTCATCCTACAGTTGCACTGGGCCTCACTTAGCCTGGTGTGTTTCTCTTTGTGAAGGAGGCCAGTGGCAAGCACAAATTTTGGTTGGCTATACATAATTGAGTTATCTTCTATACTTGGTCTCACAGAGGAAGATTATGCATAATTGACTGGAAGACTTCAGGGAAATCGAAGCCCTTTCTTCAGAATACATATGATAATCCACTACAAATTGCAGCATACATAGGAGCAATTAACCACGATAGCAACTATGACTTTCAGGTAAGTGACAGCTGTAAAGAAACATCTCAGTTCAAGCACTAGCTGCTTTCTTGCTCACACATTTAACTGAAGCTGAATTTATTTCCCTGCATAGTATTCCTGCTGAATGGTCTTACTAAATAGTAGCCAGCATCTACAACTGATGTACAGGTAGTCCTCGACTTATGACAATAGGGACTGGAAAATTTGTCATTAAGTGATGCAGTGATTAAGTGAGGCATCACATGACCACACCTGATTTTATGATATTTTGTGGTGGTTGTTAAGCGAATCATAATGCTCATTAAGTGAATCATGCAGTTCCCCATTGATTTTGCTTGTCAGAAGCTGGCTGGGAAGGTCACAAATGGTGATCATGTGACTCTGAGACACTGCAACCATCATAAATACGTGCCAGTTGCCAAGTGCCTGAATTTTGATCATGTGATCATGGGGGAGCTGCGATGGTCATAAATGCAAGGACCGGTCATAAGTCACTTTTTTACCACTGTCGAAACTTCAAACTGCTGCTAAATGAATGGTCGTAAGTTGAGGACTACCTGTAGCTTAGTTGAGTTCTGTCACTCCTAGCAACGTCAGGAAGAAAACAAAACTTCAGATAAAAATATGTAGCAGCTTTAACACTCCTTTGCCCAGTGCCTGTGGCATCTTCATTTATACTCACCTGTTATGAAAGATATCCTCTCAGGATTGTCATAGTAGGAGTCAATCTACAAACAGTTATGGGGAATTATAAGTAAAACATTACATTATCTCATCATGTAAAATACAGCTTGTAAGACCAAAGAACATTACAGATTTCAACAGTATCAGCAACTGAGGTACTCTGGAGAATTTGCAGAGTAAATTTTGAATATAGTTATTGTTTTTTAAAAGCAGCTTATGATCTTTCAGACAAGATGGATGGTTGACTGAATTTAGTAGGAAGCTGTTAATACATTTTGACAGTCTGAGAAGTAGTCAGCTCACAAGGCTTCTGCTTATATTATACAAAGGGAATTCTGGAGACAGTGGTATTTTGCACAAAAGCCTGTTTGGAAGCTCTTACCCTCTGCAAGATACCTTGTTTATTGGGAACATTACTGTATTTTTTATGACAATAAACCATGATCTCATCTTGGATGTATATACAGGTGAAACTCAAAAAATTAGAATATTGTGCAAATGTTCATTTATGTCAGTACGG